TATACACAAGCATGTACAACATTTGATGCCTTGGTCCTTAAATAAGGACCACCTGTTTGAGACCTGTATTTTTACAGACTGAATTACCTCACTAATTTAATTGAACTCTGTTGGTTTTCTATTACTCTACTAAACTTACTAGTAAATTATTTGCCATGTAGAAATATAATTTATACCAAAAGCAGTGATTGATCTGGTTAGTGATGTTGGACTGCTATTATTTTTTAACACAACTGTACATTTGATATTCAAAACATGTTTCCGTTAGTGTTAATATGTGCATTAAAGTGTTACTAAACCCATGACCCTGCATTATTATTATACAGGATTTATATAGCGCCAATAGTTTGCTCAGCGCTTTACAATATAACGGGAGACAATACAGCAACAATACAGTTGAATACAAGAGGGAAAGGAGGGCCCTGCTCCTTGGAGATTACAATCTAGGAATTCATTATATCTGGTCTACAACAGTACACACAACATGGAAATATAAATTGCTAAATACCTTTTTTCTCATCAACCGTATATAGCAGTCTTGTGACTTCTATCAGTGTCCAGCTGAACACTGGTTAAAGCTTATTGTTTTCATTCTGTTCTGACCTGTCATATGAGGCTGCATGACCCCTGACCCTCTGGACAGTGCTGATTGGCCCTGTGCTGATCACATGCACTCTCCCAAAGAAAAAAAAAAAACACACTAGCCTGAGTATATGCAGAGTGACTCCTAGAGCTCTGTATTATCAGCAGATTGATTGGGGACAGTAGAAGGGAAGGATGAGGAAGGATCAGAAAGGACAGGCTCAAACAGCCTTTTTAACGATGTAAAGGATTTTGGGCAGCACAGTGGCTAAATGGTTAGCACTTCTGCCTGGCAGTACTAGGGTCGTTGGTTCAAATCCCAACCACAGCACCACCTGCCTGGAGTTTGCATGTTCTCCCTGTGCCTGTGTGGGTTTCCTCCGGGTACTCTGGTTTCCTCTCACCCTCCAAGGACATGTTGGTAGGTGAATTGGATCCTGTCTAAATTGGCCCTAGTATGTATGAATGTGAGTTAGGGCCCTTAGATTGAGGGTTAGGGACTGATGTGAATGTACAATATATATGTAAAGCGCTGCATAAAATTGACAGCACTATATAAGTACCTGAAATAAATAATAAATAACCCTTTAGGTAACACAATGAGTATAAGCCCTCATGCACACTGAGTGTTTTAAAAAAGCCAGTAGCCTTCTCTGTATAACATAAAGTTAAAAACACTTTTTTATTTGGCATTTTTGCATTAGCGTTTAGCAGTGTTTATCCGCGTTACCCGTCTTCGCACAAAAAAAATTTTTTTTAAACATTTTTGCTCGAAAACACCACTTTGCCCATTTTACCATGTTTACTAGCGTTATAGTATTTTTACAGCTAAAAAAATCTCTTGAAACCCACCAGTTCTGGGGGTTTTCTAGCCAGAAAATGCCCATGCCAAAAAAATGCTGATAAAAGCCTATGTGTGCTTTTATTGGTTGTAGAAAAAAACGTCAGAAGCCAAAATCAGCAGCTGTAAAAACGCCCAGTCTGCATGAGGCCTAACAAGCATGCTTTACTGCATATACAGACTGATTTTACTGTTGTGGGTTTAGTAACACTAAAGTTTTGGGGTGTCGATAAATGAGATGAAGGGTTTACATGACATCCCTTATGTTGTGTGCTAATGCAATGTCATCTCTTTCATTGGGAAGTAATTTCATGAGCTACAAAAACATGTACTATTAATATCTCCTTGTTTTTTTTAATAAATGTTATCATTAATTACAGCAGTCTTGAATGACAAGATGACATTTTAGTAAGTGATGGTGCTTTGCATTTCATCTTGAAAAGATCTGTTAAATTAGTTGAAGTATGTTTAGAGCCACAGAAAATGACATTTTTTCACCCCTAGGGTAGCTTGCTTTCAATAGCAATCAAAAATATATTCCCCCCCCCCCCCCCCCCCCTGCATTAAGAAAATGATTGGTGTAAGCTGATTAAATGGTATGCACAAGAAATACTCTTTTCTTTCTTTGATTCTTTTCTTGGTGAACCTTTTTGTTGCCCTTTTAAGTTGTGGAGTTTAAACAAAAGCGTTTATTTATAGCCATGTTACTTGCATAATCTCCATCTAGCAATGAAATATGTAGAAGCCAGCTCTATTTTCCTGGTAATATATTTATCTCATTACTGTATATTTTTCTTCCCTATTATTGGGTCTGTTCTTTTCTACTTTTTTTTTTTTTTTTTTTTCTCTGGTGTGGTGCCCTCTATTTTACTCCCAGTAGGAAGGAAATTCCACGTATTGTCTATGCGGCAAGTCCTGATTTCCCTTGTTTGTGAAATCTCTGTCATTGAAGTCTCATTGTAGGGATGGTTTTGTGCAGAAATTGGGTTAGTTTTTTACTACAGTCGTGATGACTTTATAACCTAAGAACTACAGTGTGTATCCACCACCTGTCAGTGCTTGAACTATATAAAGAAAAAGGCCCTGGGTGATAGGTTGTTGTAGAAGACATATGCCATTAATCAAATTGTCAGCCCTAAAGAACATTAGAATGTAAGATAGTATGGCCTGCACTCATATAGATTCTTTTTGATCTTATAATTATTAGCTGGTAAATGTAACACATTTACCAACACAAAGGTGTGCTTCAACACGGTGAATGCACACTATTTAACATGCCTGTAAAGGTAGAAGATTTTTTACTAGTGGTGCACCGAAATGAAAATTCTGGTACCAAAACCGAAAGTTCAGGATTCATTTGGCCAAAAACTGAAAGTGAAATGTCTGCGTATGTGGGGAGGCTTAATTTTTTTTTTTAATTTTACTTTTAATGTATGCTTTTATTTATATGTTTTAACTTATTTTATTGCTATCAAATAGGAGACCAATAGTCCCCCTATGTGATATCATATAAGTAACAGGTCCTCATTGTAAGGGAAGGAGGTGGGGGGGTGGCAGTGTGTGCAAGGAGGGGGCAGGAGAGGAGCAGTGTGTAAAGTGAGGGAGCAGTGTATTCAGACAGGCTCCCTCACTTACCATCGCTGAATGTCAGTGCCGGCTTTTAGTTGCAATTGCCGGCTTTTTCTTCTTCACTTTTATAGCTCTGAGAAGTAGCTGTCATTTGGCCCACCGCTAAAGTAAACAAAGGGATGGGGGGGGGGGTCACTGGATAATGTCACTGGGTGACTCTGCCCCTCTGTTTACGTTAGCGGTGGGACAAATGATAGCTCTTTCTCAGTTATATAGTGAAGAAAAAAAGCCAGCAATTGCATTTAAAACCGGCAATGACATTTAACAGTGGAAAGTGAGGGAGCCTGTCTGTATACACTTCTCCCTCACTGTATACACTTCTTTCATCTTCTCCTGCCTTTCTCCGCCCCCCCCCCCAAATCTGCAGTACACACAGACCCCCTCCCAAACCCCCACGGCCAAATAGTCAGTCTGCCCCTCATTGGGGCTGGGTCTCTCATTATCTGCACCTGTATAGGCTCACTTTTTCCTTTCAACAAAAATAGTCCCGATTATGTTTCAGCTGCCAAAATTTCAGTGCATCCCTTATTTTTAACCTAATGCATTCTTGATATTAAGGTAAAAACCTTCTGTGCACCGGATCCCCCCCAGCCCCCCACCTCATATTTACTGAACTCCATTTCAATCCAGCACTGTGCCTCAGAGCAGAGGCTCTCTCTCCCCACTGGATATGGAGGCAGCAGTGGGAGCCATTGGGTTAATCCCAGTCTGTGAGGAAAGAGCAAGCGGCAGGGCCAAGCTGTACTGTGTCTGACTCGGGAGCCAATGGCTCGGCGGGAGGAGACGGGGGAGTCAGGAGGTGGCTGAATTGTATTAATTGCCCATAGAAACAGATTTAAATGTCTACTTACCTTCTGTGTTAACTGACTGGTTAGTCTATTTGGTTGCTTCGATCAATAATACCTCTAAATGTTTTAAAATGTAATATCAACTTCACCCAGCTGCTGTAGCCATTACAAAGCCATAGGTCCAGTGCTTTGATTTTAATTCATTAAGAGCTGTACTCCAAGTTGATTCATGAGACCACTAAGCATCATTCAGCACTGATTTTACACCCGGATGTCAAATGTCATCTTATTTAAGACCTGTTAATCTAATGATCACGTTGTGACAAAATCAATAGCTGACTGAGACATTTGACTAATTAAATTTCAGTATCTATAAAATTACACTAATGAAAACTCCTGTGTTTGCTTAATCACAATTTTGTGCTTTAACATCACAGAAAGATTTTATAGTAAACATTTTCTAACAAAAATAATCATGAAAGAAAACTACAACAGCAGCTTTCACTGCCATTCCTGTGCTTTAATACCAGCAAATCAGACCAGGACACAATCTTATACTTGCTGGTAGTGTCCAAGTTTGCCTGCTTCTTCCCACCTCCTGATGCATTGCTTTTTTTGTGCATCCTGACTCTCCAGAAAGAATGTGATGAGACATGAGGGTGCAAGCAAGCTCTGACACTACCAGAAGGGTTTAGAACCTTTCCTGATCAGAACTGCTTGGAGTTCAGGCAGTGATAGCACTGAAGGTGCTGCAAGTACGTGCAGCATTTTGTTTTGTTGTTATAGTCTAAATATGTTTTTGTTTTTTTTTAAATTCTCAACAGAAATTTTTGGTAAAATTTCTGGTCACCAGACTAGTTTGTCAGTTTTCAGAAATGTGCTAAAGAAAATGATAAAATTAAATGTCGATCATTTTTTGTAGTCTTTTTTGTTTGTATCCATCCATTCAGACAAGTACACTGTGACCAGCTTGGTGCAAGGGTCTGCTTGGCAAGCATAGGCAAAAATTACCAAGAGCCAGTTTTAGGTCTGTTTGAATGAGCCCTTGGAAATTTTAGGAAATATGGACACTCGTTCGAATTCCAATATAGGCATTGTTTTAGCATCACATGATGAAATATTGTTGTGTTGTACATAATTTTTAATTGTAATGTTTGTAGGTCATGAAAACATACCACATGTACCATGCAGAAAGCATTAGTGCTGAATGTAAGCTAAAGGAAGCTGAAAAGCAAGAGGAGAAACAAATTGGAAGGTCTGCTGACCAAGTCTTCAATTTACGCCTGGAGGAGAAACACCAAAGAAGGAGCTCAGTCAAGAAAATTGAGAAGATGAAGGAGAAGGTCAGCATGTCCTTTGTCAAATATTAATGTATTCAGAATATTGGATTGATCTTCAGCTTTGAGGATCCACACATGTAGACTCAATATACCTACATCATCAATAGAGACCTTATCATGCAATTAGGAGGCTTGTAGACTATAACTAGTTATAGTTTTTTTTTTTTATTATTATTTTTATTATTCCAAATAAAAATATAGAAAATATGGCTTTTTTGATAGTGACAAATTAATTTAAAAGCTAGTCAACCACAGTGGGTGTCATGCATGAAAGTGCTTAAAAAGAAACTAGGTGTCTATGGGACTTTGCCCAGCAAATGATAAAGGAAGAAAAAGGCTTTCACGTATTGGATATACATGATGCCTAATAACATTGTCTGTTCTCGCTCAATTGCTTGGCTGCATCCAGAGTTCACTACCTCCTGCTTTTAACTTCTAGAATCAGAACTTTCAAGTAATTGCCTTTTGCTATGCTGTGTTGCGCTGATAAATTTTAGCTCATGTATAATATTACTTTATATAAATAATGTTTTCATACTTGTTTGTTCTTTCTTTTGAAAAACCAGAACAGAGTGTAATGACAATGAAAAATAAACCTGTCACAAACCTGGGCAGTTCATACAGAGCATATGCATAAACTGTTTAAAATGACCAAAGGCAGAAAAATAGGTATCTGGTAATATATGCAGATCTTGAGTCAGGTCCTACTTCCTACCATCTTGCAAGCTCACAGCCAATCCTGTCTCCACTAACTCTGGAGTTAAGGGCATGGTCAAGCTTCTGTTTACAGGAAAAGTTACCTTTTTTTGGTAATGCAAATTGTAAATGCCTTGGATTTGGCTGATATGGCACCTTTTGATAGAGACCTCTGTCTAATAGGATTGTCAGAGAGTAAATTCCACTGACTGTGATAACTGTTAGTTTTGTACTAAATATATCACAATATAAAAGGTGTAACTATATGTTGTAGTATTGCATTAAGGGAAGGCTAAGGGACTTTATGAATGTTTGTTTTTTTTTTATTCATTGATTTCTTGTCTCTACAGCGTCAAGCCAAATACTCAGAGAACAAGTTAAAGTCCATAAAAGCTCGGAACGAATACTTATTAACACTAGAGGCAACAAATGCTTCAGTTTTCAAATATTACATTCATGACCTTTCTGATTTAATTGATGTAAGTATTTTGTTTGCTTTAATATTTTAGTTTTCTAAACTGTGGAGTAATGTTGTCTTTGCTCTAGACACTTAGAGACCCTGTTACCAGACTTGTTTTAGCAATATAAATGTACACCGATCAGCCATAATTTTATGACAACTGACAGGTTAAATGAATAACATTGATTATCTCATTACAATGGCATCTGTAAGGCAGTGTGGTATATTAGGCTGCAAATAACCATGTTGTCCATGAAGATGATGTGTTGAAAGCAGAATAAATGAGCATTGCAGTTTGTTGTATGTGGGGCTGTGTAGCCACAGACCTGTCAAGGTACCCATGCTGACCAATGTCCGCAGCCAAAAGTGCCTGCAATGGCCATGTAAGCATCAGAACTGGACAACAAAGTGGAAGAAGGTGGTCTGGTCTGATGAATCATGTTTTCTTTTACATCATGTGGTTGGTTGGCTGGGTGTGTGTACATCACTTACCTAGAGAAAAGATGGTACCAGGATGCAGTATGCAAAGAAGACAAGCTGACAAAGTGTGATGCTTTGGACAATATGTTTTGCTGGGAAACCTTGGGTCCTGCCATTCATGTGGATGTTCTTTGACATATACTGCCCACTTAAACATTATTGCTGACCAAGTAGACTCCTTCATGGAAATTGTGTTCCCTGGTTGCAGTGGCCTCTTTCAGCAGGATAACGTGCCTGGCCACACTGCAAAAATGGTTCAAGAATGGTTTGCGGAATAAAACAACAAGTTTGAGGTGTTGACTTGGCCTACAAATTCTCCAGATTTCAATCCATCTAGCATCTGTTTGATGTGCTGGGAAACCAAGTTCAATCCATGGAGGCCTTCTCTCACAATTTATGGAACTTGAAGGATCTGCTACTGACAGCTTGGTGCCAGATACTGAAGAATGCCTTCAGAGGTCTAGTGGCTTCTATGCCTTGATGGGTCAGGGCAAATGGGGAACCTACTCGATATTAAGTGGGTGGTCATAAAATTATGACTGAGAAGTGTAGATGCATTTAACATTATATACAGGTTTTTTTTTTTGATCAGTAAAAGCCTCCCTTGGGTAGCGGGGAAAGTATGAAGACTTCTGCAGGACACCACCATATTGGATGTGATGCCAGACTCAAAGCTGTCACTTAAGTCACACACAATTGTATTCCCACTTTGCTCCTCACCCAGCAGCTACATAAAAGTTTATGTAGGAAGATGAACAGAGAGTTGAGGATTTGCCACAAAAATTAAGCACTCCCTGAAGAAGAGAGGGCTGTTCTAGGGAAATGACTACTCAATTTTGCAAGTTCAAAGGCGCATGGCAAGTGACCCATTTTCAGCACTAGGCCAGCTGACATCACTCAGCCAGACCAGACTCTGGAAACATCCTGACTTTAATGTTGGGGATTTACCCAGATTCCTGACTGGCATCTGGCTCAGCCTCTCAGCGAGCCGCCCCCTCCACAGCCCAGCACTCCAGTGAGCACTGGAGGGGCAGAGCAAAGAGACAGTGACTGGCGGTCACTGGCTCTCTTTGCACTGAAGACCAAGAACTGAGTGATCAGTGGTCTTTAAAAATCGCTCAGTTCTCTGTCTTAGAGGCATTGGGGACAGATGAGACCAATGCTGCGTCTTCTCAGGTGAGTATGTATGTTTGTTTTTTTTTTTCCCCCATACTGCTCTTTTAACCACGACAAGCGACTTACTGGTACGTCACTGGATTGGAGGGACGATATAATTTTTTTTAGGGCCAGTGATTCCCTTGAATTTAAAAGTAACCCTAGCAGCTAAGAAGCCACTGGATTACAGGAGACAGAAGGGGGTCTCCAGCCTCCTCTAGTCGCCGTCTTTACAGCTCTTTTCTGAGCAATCTGGGAGCCCAGTAAAAGTGCCACCGGTGGCATCCGCTTCCCCGAACGCAGTGAGAACTGCTCTTGTTCCTCCCATTTTATGACATCAGAAATTGGAAGTCACAAGGATTCTGTCACTTCCGGAATCAGTTTCTTTGCTAAAAAAAAAAAAAAATCCCAATACGTGCAAAAAAAAAAATTGGTTTACGTGAAATCTATAGTGTTTTCAAAATGGCGGTATAAATACTGGAATTTTTTTTTTTCTAGTATGGCATTGATCAGCGACTTATAGCGGGCATTCTGCCACGGGGGGGAAATGACTTGGTGTCACTGACATCCCCAATGACACCAATACAGTGATCAGTGCTAATAAAAAGCATTGACACTGTACTAATGGCACTGAGCAGGAAGGGGTTAACATGTGGGGTGATCAAAGGGTTAATTGTGTGCTGTTTTACTATGTGGGTTGTGTGTGCTTTACACTGTAAGCACACTGCTTTGTATGGCTCTGCTATGCATTGTGCAGGAGCTGACGGGAGAGATCTGTATTGTTTACATACAGGTCTCTCCCCCGTTGGAGATCGCCTGGTGCCGGCGGGGAATCACCAGCTGGGACCCGGTGATTGACAGTGGAGGCTGCAAATGGCAGCGTGGGTAGGGTGCGTGCGCCCCCTACCCGGGACTGCAAAATCACATGTGTGTATATATACATGATTTTGCGCACCCGTGCTGCCCTGTAGCAGTATTTCTGCTATAGGTCGGCACAGAAGCAGTTAAAAAAAAAAAAATGTAAAGGTACAGTGTAAAAATAAATAAAATTGTAAAGCGTTCCCATCCCCCATGTTTGCACGCAAAGGCAAACCACACATGTTGGTCCCACGCACATATGTAATCATCGATTGCACCACACATGTGAGGTATCACCACAAATGCCAAAGCAAGAGCAATATTTCTAGCATCAGATCTCCTGTGTAAATCTAAAGTGGTAGCCTGTAAAAACTTTTATATCGTCTTTGAATAATTTAATGTACCATAGTTTATCACCATTCCACTGGCGAGCGCAATTTTAAACTTTGAAATGTTTGGTATCTTTTTACTCTGGGTAACTTAATCTTTTATCTTTTACAAAAAATTGTGTATTCTATTGTGTTTGTGTGCAGTAAAATTAAATAAACTGTAGTTTTTTGTTTTGAAAAATGATTGAGCAAATACTGTTTGACATAGAAATTGCTGGATCGTGACGAGGCTCAGATAAGTATTGAGGGGCTTGGGGGCACTGCTGCACACAGGTTTTCTACTTTTATGCATAGAATGCATGCAGGTAAAAAACATTGAGCCTTTACAACCACTTTAAGTACATTTTCACTTTATTAGAATGTTTCTGTAGCCTGACTGCTCCTTTTTGGCCATAAGTACAATTTGTACATTCTCAAGCATGTCCCCCTGTTTGGAGTTGTTTATTCTGTCCCTGGAAGCCCATAATTCTAAGCTTCCAAGCAGCCCCAACTCCGCAAAAAATCCTTTGTGTTGCAGAGCAATGGTACATGAATAGTTTCTCATTTTTAGTCTATATCAGCAATGCTCATAGACTTATTAAATTACAGTTTGATATGATGATTGGAAACGTCTAAAATAACATACATGGGGCTTGTCTCTTAGCTTCACTGCATGATGCAGTGATGCCTGGTTTACAGCCTGCATTACTTATGAAGAAAAACTGTTTCTCCCTAGACAAAGTAGATTTATTTTTGGAAACATACACTTTTCAATGTGTTCACAGTTCATCATCCAACTTGGCTGCTTTAAATGAAATGTTTCTAACAGCTGGCATTCCTGAGAATGAGAAATAACACTACTGTGTGTATGAAATGAAAATTGAAATAATGTGCCAAATCTGTTCTACACTGTCCTCAGTGTATGATTTTTTTTTTTTTTTTTTTTTTTTCCCCGAATAAATTGTTTTGACGCCTTGTAACTCCTTGGCATAGTTGGCTTAGTTCGTGTTTGTCATAGTTTGTAGGACAAGGTGTTTCCCCTAAGAATTTTAACTGTTAATGTAAATAGAGGATCTGCAATGGAACTGAAAGGTTTGCTATCACACTAGAAAAAAATCATGTCTCCTTATGTCATTTTGGTTGCACAAAAAGTGAAGCTGCCACTTATCTTCTACATCATTTTATAGATGTTAAATAATAATCGTAGATAAATACTTTTTTAGGTTTGCCTAGTCTCTAGACCAGGGGTGGGCAAACTTTTTGACTTGAGGGCCGCAATGGGTTCATATATTGGACCCGGGGGCCGGACCAAGAGTAGATGAATGATGTGTATGTGTCATCCATAGTAAGTATAGTAATATTCCCCCATAGTAAGCATAGTAATTAATCCCCCATAGTAATTAATCCCCCATATAGTAATTAATCCCCCATATAGTAATTCATCCCCCATAGTAATTCATCCCCCATATAGTAATTCATCCCCCCATAGTAATTCATCCCCCATATAGTAATTCGTCCCCCATATAGTAATTCGTCCCCCATATAGTAATTCGTCCCCCATATAGTAATTCGTCCCCCATATAGTAATTCGTCCCCCATATAGTAATTCGTCCCCCATATAGTAATTCGTCCCCCATATAGTAATTCATCCCCCCTAGTAATTCATCCCCCATATAGTAATTCATCCCCCATATAGTAATTCATCCCCCATAGTAATTCATCCCCCATATAGTAATTCATCCCCCACATAGTAATTCATCCCCCATATAGTAAGTCCCCCATATAGTAATTCATTCCCCATATAGTAAGTCCTCCATATAGTAATTCATTCCCCATATAGTAAGTCCCCCATATAGTAATTCATTCCCCATATAGTAAGTCCTCCATATAGTAATTCATTCCCCATATAGTAAGTCCTCCATATAGTAATTCATCCCCCATATAGTAAGTCCCCCATATAGTAATTCATTCCCCATATAGTAAGTCCCCCATATAGTAATTCATCCCCCATATAGTAAGTCCTCCATATAGTAATTCATCCCCCATATAGTAAGTCCTCCATATAGTAATTCATTCCCCATATAGTAATTCATTCCCCATATAGTAATTCATTCCCCATATAGTAAGTCCCCCATATAGTAATTCATTCCCCATATAGTAAGTCCCCCATATAGTAATTCATTCCCCATATAGTAAGTCCTCCATATAGTAATTAATTCCCCATATAGTAAGTCCCCCATATAGTAATTCATTCCCCATATAGTAATTCATTCCCCATATAGTAATTCATTCCCCATATAGTAATTCATTCCCCATATAGTAATTCATCCCCCATATAGTAAGTCCCCCCCCTGTGTCAATTCACTTACCTTTGGTCCGCGCGTTCCTCTCGTATTCCCGCGCCGTTCTGGTCTTCAGGGAGGACTGTGAGAGGAGTTCGTCACGCTGCCCCGCCTACATCCTGACAGCTGCAGAGTCCTGACGTCCGAGAGGAGGAGGGGGGGGGGCCATCCGAGAGGAGAGGAGGGGAGGGGAGAGGAGGGAGGGGAGAGGAGGAGAGGAGGGAGGGGAGCGGGCGCCGGCACACAGGAGAGCCGCATCTAAATTTGTAAAGAGCCGCGGCTTGCCGACCACTGGCCTTGCGGGAGCCTAGCTCCGCGGGCCGGATTAAAAGGTCCGCCGGGCCGTATACGGCCCGCGGGCCGTAGTTTGCCCATTGCTGCTCTAGACAGTAGCCCTTAGCTTTAAGGGAACCATAATTAGAAGTTTGGAGTTAGTAACACTTTTATTGTAAGGTTTTTTTTTTTTTTTTTTTTTTCCCCTGGGATGTGTGCCCGAGTACAAAAAAACTGTTTGGAGTATGTGTGTTATTGACTTTACTTTTAAGCAGTGTCTTGATGGATTTGTGAAGGCATGACATCTGCATGGCATCTGGGAGTCTGTTGCTTTCTGTGCTTGACTGCATTATAAGAAACAGGGGTCCCAATTATAATTGCCTCTTCATGTCAACCAGCTTTATTAACAGAGCAACATTTCACTTTCAACTGGATACCTTTTCCTTCTCTTAGGGTGTTTAAGCTTCTAGCAGGCTTTTTGGGATTAAAAAGGTGATATTTATGGGAGAAAATTTGGGGCTATGCCTCCAAATCATGACGGTGCATACCTTTTTAAAATTATGATGGTTTGGTAGAAGACACTTGAAGTTCTGCACACCCCAAAACTCAAATGTTTCTGATGTCTGCTGTGGTCAAGGCATTGACTCCGTTTTTCACATTTGTTTGCTTTGTACACATATTCACCCTTTTTGGAATGCAGTTTTGACACTCTTGCAGCAACATTTAAATGTTACTCTTCCATTTGAGGCCATTTATTTGCTTTCGGGCCTACCTTTTTTAGGCTGTTGCAAAAATGACAAACAATGTACTGCTAATATCTTAACAGTTGCCAGGATAACTATACCTCTGCTAGGTTTTCTATGGAAGCACATTCACTTCTGATTTGGTGAAAGTCATAGCTGGTCAGGAGAATGGAGTACCTCACTGCCCTTAATGGAGACACCATACCCTTTTTTGAGTCTGTCTGGGAGACATGGGACCAGTCTTCACCCCTCTTCTCAGAGCATTATTTGATCTTGAGTGACATGTCACATGGTATATGCCTACCGCTGATTGAGTCCTTCTCTCCATGTTCTTTACTGGAATTTCTTTAGCTGTATAAATCATCTGCTGATAGCATTTTCACCATTGCTTTAAAATTTGTGTTCTCATCTCATGCTATGTTTTTGATAGGTACATTCATGACCTGTATTATATGTAAAGTGCTCTGACCGTGTCAGGACCGTGTGGAACAGATTTGGCATGTTATTTCTTTTTTTTTTTTGCTCCATAATGTACTCATCTTTACTTCATGTGTACCTCTACATACTTGAAAATATACACTTCTCTAAAAAGGTGATATTTAAATATAAAAATCAACACCTCATAGGTTAAATAAATAAAATGTTTTTGTATGAGTAATCTGCAAAGAAGGATCACTGTGCAATTTTTGTCTTCACGTAAGATTGTTTAGTTATAGAGCATTTTGCACCAATGCAGTAACGACTGGGCTTAAACGGAGTACAGGGATCTTTCTCTGCAGAAAACTGTAGGAAAAGCGCTTCTCAACTAGGGCTAATTATTTTTAAAAAAAAAAGTACCTTGTCCTGTCTAGGAAGAGATGCTTCTCATCCAGACATAGTAGGGCACAGGTAGTAGTGTTCAGTGTGCTTCAGTATCCGAAACCATGCAGATTGTTTCATGTGCACATCTTCGGTTAAAAAAGGTAGTTTCCTTTTTAAAATGATTTGTCAACGCTTTCACTATTTTTATCTTGTTAATAAATGTATGTTTATTATTTTAATAACTATGTATATTATTAATTCATACATTTAATGTGTTTACAGTGCTGTGATCTGGGATACCATGCAAGCTTAAACAGAGCTCTGAGAACCTATCTCTCTGCTGAATATAACCTTGAGACTTCGCGACATGAGGGTTTAGACATAATAGAGAATGCAGTCGATAACCTGGAACCCAGGAATGATAAGCAAAGGTTTATGGAAATGTATCCCACAGCTTTCTGTCCACCAATGAAATTTGAGTTTCAGCCTCACCTTGGCGACGAGGTCAGAATTGTAGAAATTCAAGCATAATGTGCATTGTAAATAACATGTAGACAACTTTATTTTCTGTACAGGTTGTTGTAAGTATGAAGCTTATGTCAAACTAACATTATTAACAGTATCAAAATCTTGTTTCAGATGAACTGAACTGACAATTTTAGACTTGGACAGATACAAAATATATTTAAGTATAATGCATAAATGTCAAATGTTTGTATTTTAAAAGCGTTCAACCACTCTAAATTGTAGACTGCATTTTCTGGCAGTAGTTTGAATACCCACCTGCTTTTTGTGTCACCTGGAAAGTCATGGTTTGACCTCTTCCACTACACCTTCAGATTTGCTTACTTGCATCCAATACAGATTATTTTAAACTACTTTAATGCTATAGAACAAATTATACTCATTAGGGGGCAAACTGTGGTCTCCAGCTAACAAAAATGTAATCTGTGGCACTGGAGAAATAAAAGAAGCAAGAAGGGTTGTTTAAGTCACTATCCCTGATCTGTGATAATATTTATACTAAACTCAGATTGAGGTTGAAGTTTGAAATAAAGCTCAACTTCAGATTAGTTGATCCAACAGCCTTGCAGCTAACTAAACATATGATCATGAATGGGTGCTCTTTTGTGGGTGAAATTTGAGTGGAATCACAGACAAGAGCAATATTGTCTTTAAACTGCTTAGATTCCTTGTAACTAAACTCAAATAAAAGGTTTAATATATTGCAGCTTAGCAGTCTTTAGATGTGGTGGTAGCATTAGTTTTCAGGTTTAAGGCGAAGAACATTTTCAGCAAGTATAGAAAATAACTTGATTTTGCCAGAAATTAAGCAGTCTTTTTTTTTTTTTTTTTTTTTAAATGTACAATAAAGACATTATCATTTTGATCCTGCCATTCCCCTCAAGTTGAGGCTATTTCCTGTTTGGTACCTCCATACAGATGATTGCAATTGGCTTAGAAGCACAATGCATGATCTGGTTCACCCACTGACGGATTATCTGAGAGGTTCCATTACTCCATTTCTTTAAAAATAAATGCAACAGTTGAAGGTGAACCACATTTTTCGTCATTACATAGGACTTGCACCATTGGTGCGTTTGCCCTAACTTTAGCTTTAAAATGTCCAGATCCTGCAAGTTTAAATAAACATTAAAAGCTAGATTTGTTCAAGTTCCAAACATTTCAACATTTCTCAAAATCGAATTGTTTCTCTTGCTAAAATGTGTAATTATAAGGATCTGTGTTGGTGACCATTGAAAAAACCATGTTGCAAGTATTTTGCCTTTGCATGTAAAATTACATTGACCAAAATATGTCTGAGAAGCATTAAACCGTCATTTGAATTGTGAAATATCTGATATGTACAGCTGTGTTTAAAACTGCTAGAGACAAACTTCCAAGCTTAAAATCCTCCATCTGGTGATTCAGAATGTGGGGAAGATATTGTACAATGAGTGATATAAGCCATCACAGTTATCTGTACTTTCTTTTAGGCTCCGTGCACACTGGTTGTTTTAATTACATTTGTAACGTTAGCTGTGTAAAGTCACGTTAAAAACGTGAGTTTTTTTTTAGCATTTTGCAGTAGCGTTTAGCGGAGTTTGCCATGGTTTTTAGCGTGTTTTTTTCCCCAAAAAAAAACTAAATTTTTTTTTTTTCAAAAATAGTCCAAAAACACTGGTTTGCCGTGGTTTACCGCATTTTGACACGTTTTTCAGCATTAGAGCATTTTTACAGTTAAACTCCTAGAAACCCACTAGCTCTGGTGTTTTTTTTTAGCCCCTGCCAAAAAAATGCTGATTACAGTCTGTGTGCATGGACACATAGGATAATATGCTGAGGAGTTTACTGGCTGTAGAAAAAAAACACCAAAAACAGCAACTGTAAAAACATCCAGTGTGCATGAGGACTTATTCTCTAGCTTTAGTTAGTTTACAAGAAGTTTGAATTTAACTGAAATACGTATTTTATTTTTTAATAAAGGTTTGCCAGGTCAGTGCTCAGCAGCCTTTACAGGGAGAACTCTTTCTCCGGTACCAACAACTTCAGTCTCGACTGGCAACACTGAAAATTGAAAATGAGGAGGTAATGTAATGTGTATCAATATGAAGGAAATGACATTGTTGTATTTCAAGCACACACCCATGTGCTGCCTAAAGGCTGAAAGTAGCCATTTAGAAAGTTTTCACATTTCCTTTATCACTTTTCAGACTTTCAGAAGGTTGTCTTTTAACCTGCCATGTAAATCTACTAAATATTGCCCAAAGGCTGATCTCATAAAGTGGATAACGTTAGTTCATCTCTGCTTTATCTACTGGGAATATGGCCAATAAGAAGGAATATTTCCAATGTAAAGATAAGCATCGGGCTCAGGTTGGACATTGCTTGTGTTCTCCTCAAACCAGTTTGCAGTCCCAGCGAACTAATGTGGCAGTTCGCTCACTCGCCATTAACTGTAATGATAATGCTCTGTGAGAACCTTTAAACTTTGGTCAGCTGCATTAGAATGGCCAGTAATGGGGTCTTTGTTATGTGCCTACCCCGCAATATAAAGGGAGGGGGGGGGGGAGGGGCACGGAGCAGTCAATAGTGTGAGGAGCTGTGTTTGGAGTTGCTGTGAGGAAAGCTGTCAAACTGCATATGGAGAGATTTGGGTCTACTAGGACACTGTACTTTAGTTCTGATTGCTAGCAATTTGGGCAGTCAATCAATCTGTTGCTGTCTTCCTCATTGGGGACTTGTATTATTTTAGTTTTTGGCTGTAGTGTGGATGTGTTCCTTATACCCATTCCTTGTTTGCAGACAAGCTGAATAAACACACAGGTGTTCATAGCTGTCTAAGTAGCGGAGGGGTAAATAGGCCATATTGGCAAAGTTGTTGACAATTCATGGATATATTATAGGATCTAGTGTATTTAAAAAAAAAAAAAAAAAACAGTTATCCTTTTATGTTTTAGGGTTCTGTTGGTGGGGGGTTACATATTGGGGTCATTTAGGAGTTAAGGTTATGCTCATGGTATGTATAGATACTTTTCTGAAAACCTCAAACCAAGAACCATTAAAGCCAGGTTCTCTGCAACAAAAGCCAATTTAGGAGAAAAACAAAAGCACTTTTAATACAAAAGGCAAAAAGTTAAAAAAAAAAACAAAACACCAAGCAGTTCACAATGAATAAGGATCTGCATAACTGTACTGGTAATTGTATCATGCTGGAAATATTTGTATTGGGTTATTCTGCTATACATGTTCTAAATTTTATCTAGTCTTAGCTATTGCTTTTACTGGTGAAGAATCTGCTAGGCATTTATACCCTGTCAAAGCAGAAATATGGGAAGTGCATGTTCTTTTTAGGTGTCTTGACACATGTTTGTTCCAGGTCATTGATGCTCCAAGTTGTAAAGGATGGATAAGTTTGACAGCCCAGGAGCCTGCACTCTTAAAAACAGGTTAGCTTTAGCAGCTCCAGTGTTTCTGTCTTAACAGATTCACTTTAAAATTGCTGTCCTATCTAATGACGTTTCTGTCACTGGTCGGTCCTGAATCCCATTGAGTATATGGTATGATACATGCTCGACGGCACATAATGCTTCCTCTTACATGCATTGTCACTAATGAATTGCAGCGACAATGAAGCAGTGTGAAGCTGATTTCAGTGGACATAAGCACATAACGGCAGCCATCTGTGCTTCCTTTTACTTAAAATAGCTTACATTGGTTAAATGGCACTAAACATTGTGATTATGCTCATATTGATAAAGCATGCCTCAGTTAAAACTGTTTTCATTGTGAAATTGGGTAGTACTGTCGGCTAGGTACAGAAATGCGGAATACCCAGGAGGTTTTAAAAATGAGATTATTTATTGATGTCTTGTAAACAAGGTCAAATGTATATAATAAAGCCTTACAAAAGCCGTTTTCATTACAGCAAAGCAAAGTGAGTGCACTGTAAACAAAAAAATATGGTTTACAGAGACAGTCTATGTAATGTTTATAAAACACTATCCTCTGCCTTACCTATATAATACCCTGGATTTTCAGTAGCACACTTCATCACATTTTAGTAAGGGCTCATCCACAGTCCAGGCATGGGCATTAAAAAAAAAAAAAAATGCTTTTAGTGGGGATTGTTTGTGTTGACTTGCATTGGGCATTCAAGTTAGTGGGTTGCTTCAGGAGTGCAACACCAACACACATCAGTACAAGCATTCTGGTGTTAAAGAGCCATGTCTGGTTCATTCCATATCAAGGTTTTTAGTGTTACAGTAGTCTAATGAAAGTTTCAGATAAGTTTAAAACAAACTATTTTGTAGATAAAGAAAACCACAGAAGCTACCCTTCAGACCATACAAGACATGGTAACTATAGAGGACTATGATGTGTCAGAATGCTTTCAGCACAGCCGCTCTACAGAGTCTGTAAAGTCCACAGTGTCTGAGACATACTTGAGTAAGCCCAGCATTGCCAAAAGGAGAGCTAACCAGCAAGAGACCGAGCAGTTTTACTTCATGGTAAGAACTCCAGGGCATTTGTAAGTGTGCTGCAACTAAAAAAACATGTTAAACTGCAGGTTAATTAACTAATCATATATTTTTTTCTATGCAGAAATTCAGGGAGCTTCTAGAAGGTAGCAACCTCATCACAAAACTACAGGCTAAACATGATCTGCTTCAGAGGACACTTGGAGAAGGGAAAGGTCAGTACTCTACCAATATGTTCTGTGACCCAAATTTCATTTCTGGTTACATTTCTTGCAATTATTTATTTTGCTTGGGGCTAAAAAAAATTTTCATATTTACATTTTCAGCCAGTAGATGGAACTCTTGGGGCTTAATGTATAAAGCAATTTTGATGGTAAAAAAAAAAAGCTTGAAAAAGTCCTTCAAAGAAAAAAAAATGTATAGTTACCTGTCCCAGTGCAGATCTTCACTCTTGAAGAACTAGGCCAGTCAAAGAATCTTCAACATCCAACACACTCTGGGAGTATGTCTACTCCCCCACAGTGCACAGTGGTGCTTTCCTTTTGGCCCCATGTCAGGAGCCACAAAGTGAAGAGAAGAACCGGCTAGTTTTTACAGATGAATTTTAGCTTTTTTCATTAAGCCTGCTGGCTGAATAAAAAGACTAGCGCTGTATGGGCCAGCTTTAGTATGTCAATGTAAATGGCAGTATTGATTGTTTATGTAACTGGATATCATCCACTTGCTAAAAATCTAGTATATATTTGAGCTATTTATAAACACGCATTCTTTGATTTTCTTTTTCCAGGTCATCGAGCAGAATACATGACTACAAGGTAAGCTCTTTGCTATGTTGGTTGATGGCAGAAGCTACAGTCAACTTTATAGAATTAGGATACATGGTTATAGATACAGTGTTAGAATGTGATGATTGTGAGCACCTCAGTCCTTAATATTTACTAAATAAACATTGAGCTACTCTATGTGCCTGATGCAATTCTGTTAATGGTTATGTTTGTAAACATGGTTTGATGTTATAATAGGTTCACATTCACTTAATAATTTTTTGTTTACTTTTGTTTTAATTGTACGACAGTTTGTAAGGCATTGATGTCTGAGAATGCCCATTTAAGCTCTCATGCACACTAGTGGGGGTTTTTTTTTTCCTGTCTCTTAATCCCACTGCATCTTAGCCTATGTGTCCATGCACACATATGCGTTTAGAGGCATAAAAAAAAACCATTGCCAGTGCATTCAGGAGCAGCAATGTTTTGGCAGAACAACATGCTTGTGTGAATCTGTTTCAGTAGCCAAATGCTTGAGGCGTCTAGACGCATTTTCACACAACTACAATTATCAAGTAGTTTTTCTGCCAAATCACTGCTGCCAGGAGAAAATGTATTTAGGAGAGATGGGCGAACGTCCTGTGTGCAAGAGGCCTAATGCTGGTTTTACATATGCATAATTAAATCATATTTGTAGTCCAGAAATGATGGGCACGGGGATTTAAATGATCTTTTATTTGTATCAAACCTACACAATCTTGCATTGGTAGCGCCCAAAGCAACATTGCTGCTGCATACTAGCAACATTTCTAGTCCAAAATGACCCATTCCAAAGCCAGAGTTGTAATTTAACTTCCTACGGCATTCCACTCATTTATATATTACACCTTCATCCTTCATCTCTTCTTAAAGGCAAATTTCACCTGTGCCGTCATATAAACCAGTAAAAAATGCGTATATCAAGAAATTTATATGTTAAGTTAAATAACTATTAATATTAGAAATGCTAGGGAGACAAGGATTGTGTTTTTGCACAGTGAAGACATGGACCACTTTGAAACCACATCAGATCTCAGTGGGGAAAAATATCATATTGGATATTTATACTGATGTGGACTAGGAATGTGTTAGGAACATTTGATGGAAATGAAAATATCAGCCTACAGAGGACTGAATTCAAAGACACCCTGACAATCAAAGTAAAAAACGTATGCAGCAGGCTAGTCCATTTTGCTGAAATTTCATTACAGCAACTCAGAATGCTACTCGGTAGTTTGTATGACCCCCACATGCTTGTATGCATGCCTGACAACGTTGGGGCATGATCCTAATCAGACGACTTATGGTGTCCTGGGGTATTTCCTCCCAGATCTGGACCAGGGCATCTCTGAGCTATTGGACAGTCTGAGGTGCAATCTGGTGGCGTCAGATGGACCGAAACATGATATCCCAGAGGTGTTCTATTGGATTTAGGTCAGAAGAGCATGGCGGCTATTCAGTGGTATCAATTCCTTCATCCTTCAGGAACTGCCTGCATACTCTCATCACATGAGGCCGGGCATTGTCATGAACCAGGAGGAACCCAGGACCCACTGCACCAGCGCAGGGTCTGACAGTGGGTCCAAGGATTTCATCCCGATACCTAATGGCAGTCAGGGTGCCATTGTCTATCCCAGGGGTCTCCAAACTTTCTAGATGAAGGGCCAGTTTACTTTCTGGACTGTGACCAACAGGAGTAGAAAATGTATTTTTGTCAGTGGGAGTTAAACAGTGTCCCATATTTGGTGTCAATAGTAGGAATAGTGCCCCATCATTGGTGTCCGTGGGAGAAATAGTGCCCCACCATTGGTGTCAGTGGGAGGAGGAAGAGTGCCCCATCGTTGGTGTCAGTGGGAGGAAGAGTGCCCCATCGTTGGTGTCAGTGGGAGGAAGAGTGCCCCATCGTTGGTGTCAGTGGGAGGAAGAGTGCCCCATCGTTGGTGTCAGTGGGAGGAAGAGTGCCCCATCGTTGGTGTCAGTGGGAGGAAGAGTGCCCCATCGTTGGTGTCAGTGGGAGGAAGAGTGCCCCATCGTTGGTGTCAGTGGGAGGAAGAGTGCCCCATCGTTGGTGTCAGTGGGAGGAAGAGTGCCCCATCGTTGGTGTCAGTGGGAGGAAGAGCGCCCCATCGTTGGTGTCAGTGGGAGGAAGAGCGCCCCATCGTTGTTGGTGTCAGTGGGAGGAAGAGCGCCCCATCGTTGGTGTCAGTGGGAGGAAGAGCGCCCCATCGTTGGTGTCAGTGGGAGGAAGAGCGCCCCATCGTTGGTGTCAGTGGGAGGAAGAGTGCCCCAGAGCGCCCCCATCGTTGGTGTCAGTGGGAGGAAGAGCGCCCCATCGTTGGTGTCAGTGGGAGGAAGAGCGCCCCATCGCTGGTGTCAGTGGGAGGAAGAGCGCCCCATCGCTGGTGTCCCTGGGAGGAGAGTGCCCCAATTGTTGATGTCGGTGGGACAAATGGTTGGTGTTAGTGGCAGGTACTATGCCCCACTTTTGCTGACAGTGGGGGGAATAATGGCCCAAGGGCCAGGTAAAATCAAGCAAAGGGCCACAGTTTGGAGACCACTGGTCTAAACTTTAGAGGTTTGTGCGTCCCTCCATGGATATGCCTCCCCAGACCATCACTGACCCACCACCAAAACAGGCATGCTGAATGATGCTAAAGGCAGCATAATGTTCTCCATGGCTTCTCCAGACCCTTTCACGTCTGTCACATGTGAACCTGCACTCATCTGTGAAAAGCACAGGGTGCCAGTGGTGGACCTGCCAATTCTGGTGTTCAATGGCAAATGCCAATCGAGCTCTATGGTGCCGGGTAGTGAGCACAGGGCCCACTAGAGGACGTTGGGCCCTCAGGCCACCCTTATAAAGTCTGTTTCTGATTGTTTGGTTAGAAACATTCACACCAGTGGCCTGCTTGAGGTCATTTTTGTAGGGCTCTGGTAGTGCTCATCCTGTTCCTCCTTGCTCAAAGGAGCAGATACCGGTCCTGCTGATGGGTTAAGGAACTTCTATGGCCCTACCTAGTTCTCTTAGAGTAACTGCCTGTCTGTCGCCTAGAATCTCCTCCATGCTCTTGAGACTGTGCCAGGAGACACCGCAAACCACCTGGCAATGGCATGTATTGATGTGCCATCCTGGAGGAGTTGGATTGCTTGTGCAACCTCTGTAGGGTCCAGGTATCACCTCATGCTACCAGTAGTGACACTGACTCTAGCCAGATGCAAAACTAGTGAAAACAGTCAGAAAAGATGCGTAGGGGAAAAAAATGTAAGTGGCCTCCACCTGTAAAACCATTCCTGTTTGGGGGTCGTATCGTTATTGCCCATCTAGTGCACCTGTTGTTAAAGTGGAGTTCTAGCCGTTTTTGCATTTTTACAAAAACTGTAGCTGCTGACTTTTTTAATAAACACACTTACCTGCCCCGGGGTCCAGCAATGTACTCATCCACGCATTCCCTTCTCTCCTTATGTCCTCCACTGTGCCGGCATCTCTACTGTTGGTACCAGGCTGTGACAGCTTGCGGCTTCGCAGCCTGTTGCCCACTGCGCATGCGCCTCCTGCAATCTCCTGGGACCTGTGAAAGTTGCCAGGAGACTGCGGAAGCAGTGGCAAACTGAGCCGGAAGTGGGAGCGGGTATCTGTCAATACCAGGTACCCGATTCCCCCACCCCCCCAAAAGGTGCTAAATGTGGCAGTGGAGGGGGGTGGAGGCAAATAAGTGGAGCTTCCACTTTCATTAATTGGGGTTCATTTCATTAACCCCAAAGCAGCTGAAACTGATTAACAACCCCCTCTACTACTTAACTGACCAGTTCAATATCCCAGGAGTTTAATGGACTTGATGCTATACTTTGATTAAAAAGTGTCCATAACCGCTGGTTCAAACCAAAGCATTTTTAGTGCTTTTTGCAGAGGTGCATAACAGTCCATTTAACATGTTTTCCTATGGGACACGTTCACATCTATACTTTTTTGAGCTGCTGCAATTTTGGAAAGGGTCAGGGACTTTTTAAAATGCAAAACAGTGCTTTTTTGGTTCATTGGGAAAAAGCAAAACACATTAAAAAAAAGCGTAAAACAATGTGTGTGAAAAATGCAAAAAGCACTGCAAAATGTGGAAAAATGCAAACTACATTGGTGTGAACCAGGGCTAAGACTGCTAATTATAGCTCTGGCTTAAGAAAGGGTAATTTTGAACCTGAAATATCTTTAGGATGGAAGAAGCAGTGTTTTATTGGGCACTATGCTGATCCTTTTTTAGGAATACATTGGATGTGCCCTATACTGCACCCATGCTAATAATATGAACAATAAAGTGTTTGCAAATCTTTACCTGCAGTACAAGAGCTTTAAAACAAAACATCCCTGGCCTCTCTAGCTGCTTTTAGAACTCATACACACAGGCAGAAAAAATGTTGCTTTTAAAGGCAGATTTATTTAATTATGCCCTTAAACACGGCTCCATTTCAGCCAGTGTGTCCATCCACAATGAGTTTGGATTTGTGTTTTAGAGCAATGTTCAGGGGCTTTAATAAATGCCCCAAACCTGCATTCAGAGGGCAGCTTAATGGCATAATTTACTCAATTCATTCCAGAAGCAAGAATAAATGACTATTCTGGCCAGTAGAATAAGTTTATGCACTTACTCCTTTAAACACCATACACCTGTAAATGTGCATCATTTGCCAAAACAAGCATTTTACTGATTGATTCTTCTGCCTCCAGCATAGCTAGAAGTATTTTAATATGCCCATGTGCATATGAATCTTTAGGCCCCTTTCACACAGCTGATTTGTTGCAACCACTTGGTTCCTGCAGCAAGAATCTGAAGAATGACTGGGTTTAGCTATCTGAAGCGGTTCAGGACAGATGACAGAGTCTGCTTTCAGCCTGCCATTAGTTTAAATGGGCTCAGCGGATTGCATAACCAGGTCAATCCAGCAGCAAGAATCCACAGATTCTTCCTGCAGGAATCTGGCAGCCACAACAAATCAGTTGCGTGTAAAGGGCCTTAGTGTGAAGTTATTTTTTTTATGAAAGGTCACAACAAATACTGCAAAGTCAAGTTTCTGTTTTTAGGCTTCAAACAATTGCTAGATGTTTACATTAGAAGTTTGTCAGCCTGCCAAGATCTGCTGTTCTAGGCAAACACAGTGCATATGTTAAAAATTTGAAAATTCATTTCTCCACAATGCTTATAGAAACAGAGATGAACAAGGGTTTGCTGTACAGTGTTTTAAATGCTTGTTCCGAATATGTTAATTCTTTAGTATGCATTATCTGGGCAAGGTTTTCTTTAAGGGCTGGGTTTAAGGTGTGAAAGTTGATGGAAGGTGTGCATTCATTGTTTAATGTACATAAATCAAATTTGTGAAATTAATCATTATTGACTGGGGATATAGCAGAATGTAAATCACAAATCCCTGAATCACATTGGCTTTCATGATTCCCAATATTTTTACCATTTACCATAATTTGTTTAACACAGACTGCACAAAAAAAACTTATCACCTTTAATTTTGTTGGGTGAGACACAAAGAATATCTTAATGCTTTTATGCATTTATGAAACATGATGGTTTGTTCACCACACATGTTTTGCCTTCTTGAAGTACGATTCAGTGCAGTATACTTGAAGCTGTTCCTTTGTTGTCCAACATGTATAATCTATTAAATATTCTTAATAAAATTATATTGTCACTTAATATTGATGTTCCCTTTCTCAGGCCTCCAAATGTACCCCCTAAGCCCCAGAAACAAAGGAAACCCAGACCCCGATCTCAGTATATTACTAAGTTGTTTTATGGGGATCTGGAGACGTTCATCCAGGTATTGGCACTTGTAATGCTGCACTTTTTGCTTCCTATGTAATGACAGGACCTCAGCGCAGCTGAGGAACGTCATTACATTCTACAATGTGGTGGGCTGTTGTTTCCCTTCTGATCAATATCCTTCCTGAGCCTACAGAGAGAGTTGGAAGTGTAACCCCTTCCTCGGTGATGTACGCATTATTCTTGTGTGGTGTGGACAGTGACATTTCTGCAGTGAACTCTGCTATAGTTAATGTTTAGTGCAGGAAACATTTCCTCAAGAGTCTTCCTGTTATTCATTTTCAGGGAAAACACAGCCATGACACTGGTTTCATTGAACTACATCTGTGTAGTCCATATTCTCAGGTCAAGTGCCACCAAATAAACACAATGCCTGTTCCTTCAAAACCTCTAATGAAATGTAATGCATAAATTATCATAGCTATTTCAATAGTGTCTTTATTCATTTACATAAATATTTAAAACCCTGTCAAGCATTGCTCTGTGTGTAAAGGACGAGTGCAGTATTGTATTAAAAACACCTCAGACTCCTCCCTTGCCCCCTTAACTAGGTAGGATGATGATTATACCCTCCCAAAGTTAATTTTTTTTTTCTTTTTTAGATAAGCCAGCAGGCTGATTTTTTTTTGGGGGGGGGGGGCAGATTCTCCCATCCACACAAGTGAGGCAGATGGGGGAATCCTCCCTACTGTGCTATTGTATTCTGACCGTGGGGACTCCTTTTACTATTGGATTACACTGATCAACGCTCCAGGGGCTGGTCTAGTTACAAGTTTTCCAACATTCCTGTCAATTCATTGAATTAATTTCTGTTGAATGGGAATGACCATAAATGAATGGAAATTCAGCTGGTCCCTGCTGAACTGGCGATCCATCTATGGCTATCTCAAATGTGTACTTGTCTCCTCTGGCAGCCTACTATATTGCTTACAGCTTGGTGCTCTAGTGCTGGCCAGGTATTCCATTATTTACCTGCTGTAGACCATGTTGGGGGCCCCCTGTAGGAGGGAGGTAATTAAACTTGGGGGTGTCCATCATCTGTTATGGTATTTTTAGTACTTTTAGAGTTGCTGAGGTTAGCAAATACATCCCCTTGCTTTTCTCGGTACATGTTTCCTTCCAATCCATTAGGTTGTCTCACCCTCCCAAATATCCATAAACATATTCCCAAGTGCTGTCAGACAGTTCATAGATATACAGTGGGTTCAGAAAATAATCACTCCCTTTAAAATCATTTTTTGCTGTGCAGCCTGAAATGAAGACCGTTTTTGTTTTACTCAGTGCAACTTATAACATCCAAGTGAAAGATATAACACCAACATGTCCGAAATGTATTTTAAAAAATTCAAAAACAGAATCACTGAGTTGGAAAAAAGGATCACCCCCTTGTGTCAGTATTTTGTTGAATCACTCAGTGATTCTGTTTTTGATTTCTATTTATTTTTTTCTGACATGTTGGTGTTATATCTTTCACTTGGATGTTATAAGTTGCAAAGCAACACAATGTGATTTTAAATGGGGATGATTCTTTTCTTTACCCACTGTAAATATGCAGTTTGCATATTAAATTGTAATACATACAGAACCTGCCAAGTGTGCACAGAGTGTGCTTCCAGCTGAGAAACAGAAGCGCTTGAAAATAAAAAAAGAAATCTTTTATGAATAGGCACTTTAAAGTCTATACGCCATAACAAGTATTTCTTTATAAAATCAGGAGTAAAGGACTTTTTAAGTTCAAAATACCAGAAGATTCTGTAATAAATATATTTTCATGCAGTCAGTGCACAGTCATCTGTGCCTATTTACTGACTTTGTAGAGAACATTGACTGCTGCTACCGAGTTCACTGTAGTAAAATTGATGTAAGCTAGACATTTGTCCAATTGATGTGATGCAATGCACTGATCAAGGCTGTTGCTCCACTTTCTCTGTTTCTTAAGGAATGCTATACTATGAAATTAGTAAAACTCCAAAATTCCATCTTGTACCTTCACTACAGTTATTCTCTACTTCTTTTTCTGTCCTGTATTTCTAATAATGCTTCTAGTCGGGGAAGAAGGAATTCACACACAAGACATCAGGTATTGTACTACTGGCAGTAGCCATCATATTTATTCACATCTTGCTTTGCAGGTGTCATCTGATCAAGGGAATGTTTGCACATGAGAGAAAATTCTAAATCACATTTGTGATATGCATTTGTATTGCTAGATATACAAAATACATATTGGATAACCCTCTGTTGTTCTCAAAATAGCCACTTGAATTTAAATGTATTCCTTTTATTTGGTACACCAGATGTTCTGTTTAGTTTCTGGATCTTTTACCCAAGTTTTAGTGCCTTTTCTTACTAAGTGGAAGACTTGGTCATGTTTTTAATTGCTGGTCTATCCTGGGTGAGTAGATAGCTTTTGGAGGAATTACAAAATGCCAATCCATGTTAATTATTGTCTAATAGATTACCGCAGCCTTTCGAATAAAGGCTAGAAGGAAGAAGTGTAGGTGCTTTTTAATCTAAGATGCCAGTGTATAACATCCTAGCTGTTTACTGAAAACTTCTACCTTTTTGTCTATGCCTTTTAACCTTTAAAGCGAGGTATGGACAAAAAACAAACATTTATACTCACATAGGTGGATGCAGCATTGATCTGATGCTGCATCTGCTCCCTGCCGGCTCCGAAGTGAGAACTTAGCGATCAAACACCACTTGCTCAGTTCTCCCCTTCGCTCAGAACAGAGAGCCATAGACTGACAGTTCTGTGGTTTCCCGTCTGTGCTTTCTACTTATTCCCCACCCATTTCTGTGTCTTCCTCCATAGGAAACTGCTTGCTATGAGGGCAGACGTGCGGGCGTGCTCCTGAACCAAACTGTGTGCATCCATAGCCACACATAAGGCTTGTCTCCCACTCCCTCCTCACAGGATTGTTTGACAGCAGCAGCAGCTATCAATGGCTTACACTGCTGTCTCTGTGTCCTATGAGTAGAGGAACACAGACCATTGCAGCTGCAGACAAGCATCAAGATAGGACTCTCTTAGATAAGGATAGGAAAGTATTTAGGGAGGTGAAGGGGCAATACAAGTAGTGGGACCTTTTTTAACCTTGATAAAGGGAATAGATTAGGGTAAAAAATGTCTTGGCTTTATAACCACTTTAAGGCTGAACTCCAGGAATTACCCAAAATCTGCTATTGCAGTGGGTAGAAGTCAGCTACAAAATGTTATGTTTTAAGTCATCCTGAAGTCAAGAATCAAAGTGATGGATGCATACAGATTACCCTTTACATTGGGCTTTCTTTAAAGGGTCCATTCACCTTTATGAAACTGCCTATGCAGATAATGGGCATCTGTAGATGAAAACAAACTGCGCAGCTGTGACTAAAGTTGAATAATGCCCTTGCTATAGGTGTACGCCATTAACATAGCTCCCAAAACCTGACTGCAATATTCCCAGGATGTAGCTAGGATGTTGCTAAGTGAGGCTTAGTCATTACTGCTCATTGCCTCTATCACATGAGTGAGCTTACAAACCCTGAACTTGGAGTTACTGCACCCAGGGAGAGAAAGAACATGTGAATCAGAGAAAAGGCTCACTCCTGTGATGGTGGATGTGGGCAGCAACGACTAGGCCTCACTTAGCAACAATTTATTTTTATCTACAAACAGCCCTTAACTGACTAGGCAGTTTTTTTTGTAAGGGTAAACTAACCTTTTAACATGGATTTAGACCTAAAAATAATTTTTAGTGTATATTACGATAGTCTTATTAAAGCTTTGCATCTAAAACCATGTTTGGAATGTCCCATCACTGGATAAATCCTACTTGTGGATTTGACCAATTCTTGTGGCACAAATTATTAAATCATTTTGTATGCTAACTTCAGTCATATAATAACCATGAGATGTACAATTCTGATATAGATGTCCAATCAAAGTATCCATCGAGACCATAACATTCTATTACTGTCATCCCAAAACTAGGTCAGCTTTTCTATTGATATATCAGCTTACAAATAATAGTTTCCTGTTAATGAGTACAAATATATACTTATTGTTACATTAGTCATTATGCAATGTGCTACTCAACTGTAAACTTGGTGTTGTTGAACCATGACCCTTTTCAATCACTCACTTTGCCTAACTTATCTAGCCTCAGCTGTAGTAGGAGGAGGAATTTCCACATGCAAATCTACTTTATTCAGCATTGGAAAAAACTTAGAAAAAAAGACTCCCCTATTCCGTGTCTCTATCCTGAACAGAAAAATCTTAAAAAGGTGCTCCAACATCACCACTCCCTCACAGCCTAATCCCCCCCCCCCCCCCAACATGTATTTTTACAACCTGCTTTCGTGGGGCAGCTTGGATTGCCCTCAATGCACATTCTTACCCACTCAGTGGATGCAGCATTGTTTTGCTGCAATCTACTTCTCCACTGCCCCCACTCAGGTACCATGCCATCATCCTCCTCCGTGACATCATTGGGGGAGGGATCTCTTTTCTTCTGGGTTCAAGGCAACCTCCTCTCAATGACACGCTGCCAGGTACCCCATCTTCATAAATGGAAGCTGATGTCTTCTGGAATATGTGATGTTCATATACCAACAGGCAGTGGAAGTACAGCTCGTTTTCCTGCCTGGGGAGAATAAAGTAAGGGGAAGGGAGGTAAGCCCAAAAAAATGGGGGGGGGGTTTGGATTCTCATGTAGTTGAGGGGGAGAGGGCTGGAGAGGAGGAAAATGTGTTTTTAGTATGAAGGCCTGCTTTAACAGTGTATCAGCAAAATGCTCTAGTGAACACAATTGGATACAAATGGGACTAGACACCATAGCAGTAACAATTTCATCAGTAGATCACCAGTTGTCAGCACCATGCAAGTCTGTAAGCACCTGAAAAGTCCATCCATAAAAGAGGTCCAAACCTGGTCAGCCTTGCAGCTTTGCACAAAACAAGAAAAGGCAGCAGAGTGCACTAGCATATAAGTTAATTAGCAAGGCCTAATTAAAAGGTAAGGAAAAATAAAGAAAATAAATAAACTTGGCCTACCTTAAAAGTGGACAGTGTCAGTTTTACAATTTTATTTTTGTTATTTTTTAAAAAAGGAATTTAGCAGCCCTGTTGCGGGGCTTTGGTGAAATTGGGGGGCTAAACAGACCTGTGATGTTTCACTTTTGAGACCTAAAAAGGAGTTTGAGGACAGCTGCACAGAATAAGTGAACAGGAATAGCTCTGCTTAGAGCTTTCCATGCATTCACAAACCAAAGCATGGGAAACACCATACCGATTGCTCACTGTGTTCAAATTCCTTTTTCTCCTGCAGCCGCTGAATGCCGGCCGGAGGGAGAGGAGGAGAAGTAGGGTTTCCTCAGTTGCAGAAGCAGAATAGAGGGGATCAGTTCCTGTATATGCCACCCCTCCTGTCCAGGTGTAAAACCGTATATGACAGGGAGGCCGTACAGGCCCCCTGGAGCATGGGCAGGATTGTCATTGACACTACATCAGTGGTAGCAGTGGTAGCTGGTGCCCATCAACAGTCCCTGCCTACACCAGCATACAGTATCCGGGGTTCCATTACTAGAACATGTTTCAGGAAAGCGTTCCTCTTTTTCAGCCTAGTAACAGACCATGTTTGACTTATAAAGCAAGCACATTGTTTGCATATAATCTAGTACAAGAAATATGTATATATTGAGGGCTTGCAGTACAGATCATTTTCAAATCCAGCATGGGATGGACATTGATGATGCACACATTTGCCACCAAGAACAATATGATTGCTTTAAAAGTCCATCAAGTGTGCTCTGTTACCAGGCTGTCAAAGGGGAAAGCTTCCTTCAAACACTTTCTAGTAACAGAAAGCTGGTGTAGGAAGGGACTGACACAGAGCAAGGAAGACAGAGACCCTGACGAGATGGCTGCATCCCAAAAGCTGTTACCACTCAGCTCAATCTGATGCCAGTGGCCATGTGCAACAAAACAGTGTGCCAGTCTATCCAAAGAAGATTTTAAATTTGCGAGTGCAAAATAAATTTTATATATATATATATATATATATATATATATATATATATATATATATATATTATTTTCAAGATTGAAGAAGGTGTCTACACTATGCCAGTGCTTTTTGCTGTCTTTTCTTGTTTAGAGTAAATGGAAACTTGTCTACTTTGGTCTTGTGCAAATATACCCTTGATGAATTTCTACAATAAGCATGCCAGCAGCATCTAACTAAATTGTGATGACCTTTCTACATTCTAATATTGATCTATCATATGCTTGAGCTTTGTTTTGTTTTGTTTGTGTTTTATTTAAGGAACAGAACTTGTTAAATGTGTGTAATTGTGTACAGATAATACTTAAGCAAGCTCTCCACCAAACACTGTCTAAATGGCTAAAATAACCCCATTATAATTTCAGAAAATATAAAACTATTTAAATAAATAAGGATTTGGTCTGTTTACATACCACAGACAGTCTTTATATTATACTATGCAATATGTATATAGTAATTTAGAAAACAGAGGCAGACAGTTGCAATACAATTCGATGCAAGAGGGTTCAGGGGGCCCATTAGACCTTACAATTTAGAAAGGAGGTGCAACTGATACAAAAGGTAGTAACTATTAGGGATGAGCTGATGGAGAAATTTAAAGTACAATTTGTTAGAGACAGGATAGGCCTTCCTAAAAATAAAATGGGTTTTCAGGGATCACCTAAAGGTCGACAGAGTAGGAGATAGTTGGACAGATTGTGGTAAGGAGTTCCTGAGGATAGGAAATGTTGTGGAGGCAAGCATGGGACAAGAGGTATTTGGAGGAAAGATGAGAACTGTTTGATTATTTTGAGAAAAGGTTGGTGATGTAGCTCAGGTCACAATTGTGGATGGCTTTGTAGGTTGTTAGTATTTTTACATTTTTATTTGCTGGGTGAACGGAAGCAAATTGAGGGGTTGGCAGAGAGGGATAGCAGACACTAAATGGTTGGTAATGTGGATGAGTTTGGTAGCAGCATTTATAATAGCCTGAAGGAGGGATAGCCTATGTAAAGCTAGACCAACAACAAGACCGTTTCAATAGTCAAGGAGAGAGATAACTGGGGAGTGAAATTATGAGCTTGATTTTGGAAAGAATTGGTTCTAGGAAGTGGTGAGATACCATACTTTTATGGCCGTTCGTAAATTAGTGATGTGTAAGGTGAATGATTGGGTAAACAGACAGGTAGAAAGATAAATTTGGGTGTTTTCAGCATAGAAATAGTATTGGAAATTGTCAGCTGATCCAGGGAGAAAGTATTGACAGCATAAAGTAGAGGCCTGATTACAGAATATTGGGGGACCCCTATGAAAACAGGAAGAGGACAGGAGAAGGTAGAGTTGTAGGCAACACTGAAGGTGCAGTGAGAATAGGTAAGAGAAAAACCAGCAAAGTGCAGAGCCATGGAGGCCAAGGAAATTTAGTTTTTTGAGGAGCAGTGGGTGGTCAACCATATCAAAGGCAGGTTCAAGAGCAGGAATAGTTACCATTGATTTTAGCAGTTAATCTTTAGTGAGTTTTAGGAGAGCAGTTTCTGTGGTGCGTTTTGGAGCAAGATCTAGACTAAAAGGGGTCAAGAAGATTATCTGTGAGGTGGTATCTCAGGTGGTTGTAGACTAGGCGTTCTAGGAGTTTGAAGGTAAACAGGAGCACGGAGATGCGTTTATGTTGTTAATATTGATGAGGTCCACCGAGGGCTTTTTTAATTACGGGGTGACCAATGCATGTTTTAGAGCAGGTGTGTCAGACTCCGTTCAATTGCAGGCCACATCAGCATTATGGCTGCCTTCAAAAGGGCGGTTTTATCTGAAATCAAGAGTCCCCCACCCTCCCTTACTTCACAGTGCACCCCACTTACCTTGTGCTGCAGGAAAAAAGCTGGGGGCGGAGCCAGGAAGCAGAAAGTGCAGGGTTTGGAGGAGGGCTGGAGTCAGCTGTCTGAGTCTGCTGAGACCAGGGGAGGTGGAGATGGAGAGGTTCTGCTGCAGCACAGAGAGGAGCAGGATCTGTAGGAGTTTTGTTGTTCTCTCTGCTGCCAACTGCTGAGACGGGAGGAACAGACAAGAGGGGGTGCTGCAACTGCACAGAGAGGTGCATGATCTGTAGGAGGCGTTCTGCCAAAGCTGCAGGAGAGGTGCAGTGGCTACTTGAAATGGCCGGATTTGGGTCAAGTGCCTTGCGTCTGACACATGTGGTTTAGAGGGTTGGGGAGGATACCAGTTGAAAGGGAAAGATTGATGTTGTGAGTTAGAAAGTGTAGGATAGACCAAGAAGGTTACAGTAGTCTTAGAGGTAGCTTGTTGCAGAATAGAGAAGGGTTAAAGTGGCGAGGGTTTCTATGGGGTTTTTTCCGTTGGAGGAATAGGATGTGAAGACTGGGAGAATGTGACATTAATACGATAGTGATCAGAGAAAGGTAAAGGATTGTTAGAGGGGTTGCATGGAGTGCAAAGGTGGGAGAATAAAATGTCAGCACTTGCCATCAGAGGGAGTAAGTGTGTGTCCATTGTTCTAGGTCAAAAGAGAAGATTAGGCTGGAAGATTAGAAGTAGTATTTGGAATGTTAACATTAGCAGGGATGTTGAAGTCCGCAAAAATTATTGTTGAAATTTCAGGGTAGAGAAAGTAGGATCGCCAGCCGGGCAGAGAAATAGTCAGGGAAATTTGATTCCGGTCCAGGAGGCCATCAGATCATATCCGCAATCTTCAAAGAAACTGAAAATAAAAGACACAAGTGAGCTTTGAAAGAGTACAGGGACAGAAAGGGAGATAAGGGAAGAACCTAAAAGGTGCTTAGTGGGGATATATAATAATATCTATGCTTTTCTTGGATAATTTCTTTACACAATTTAGTATTGCGCAGTAAAAGGGTTTTTCATCTTTCAACATTTCAATTTAAAAATAATAGCACAGAGTAATCATTCTGCATTGTATCACTCTAGGAATCTGGACAAATCATTCCTCTCATTGTGGAAAGCTGCATTCGATTTATTAACTTGTATGGTAAAGTATCATTTTGCACATTTCCTGACTCAGGCTGATCTTGTAAAGTATTCAGTCAGAAATCCAGTGCTTCTGTATTGGTATGTTTTTCTTCTTTTTCTCCATCAGGGCTTCAGCACCAAGGTATATTTCGAGTCTCTGGTTCCCAGGTTGAAGTTAATGATATTAAAAATGCATTTGAGAGAGGTAAGACATTAATTCTATCTTTAGTAAGTCCAATATTATATCAAGGCTATTTATTGTACCAATTAGATTTTAGACTTTGTTTTTGAAAGTGCATAGTCTGAAGTATATTTAAATTTCTGATCTTTTTTTTTTTTTTTCTTCCTTTCTTTTAGTTCTACTATAAATTGACCAATTTTGCTTCCGTTATCTGCCCAATTTGCCCATGTATGGGCACCTTAAAGGAATCCTGTGATTAGAGAAATACCTTGACCGGGATTGCTAGCCTTCTGGAAATGCTAGTTGTCATGCTGATCCTTTGTCTGCAAAGCCTTCTCAGTCACTGACCTAGAACAAATGTGGGCAGTATAGTCAAATTCCAGAAATAACTACTTTTATTTGAGTTGGTGGTTCAGAAAATGACAGCCAGACAACAAACATTTTCAGGAGGAGGCCAGGAATAGCTTCCAGCTATCCCTCATGACAGTGCACCACCTCTGTATTTGCTTTAAAATATTCTTTCTATCAACTTCTTGAGTGACATTTGCATGGCAACTAGCAATTTATTTCTGAGCTTTCAATTATAATGAGCATTCCTGCCAGTCCTCGAGTAGCCATGCTGTTGACATAATTATCTTGCCATGAAAAGGCACAATCTCCTGGGTCCAGTATGTTACATGTGGCTTACTAGGGAGCATTCTTGAAGCTAAACATTTCTATGTGGTAGCAGTGGCTTCTAGTTACCTTCACGGAGGTCTTTCTTGTTTTGATGCAACTATATAATTTGCATGCATGCTATACTATTGTTAACTTTAATTCTATGTTGCTAGCTAAAGATATGTATTTTTGCTCTGGCTATTTATACTGTTGAATTGGCACAAAAAGATATAATTATTCAAGAAGTGATGTAGTATTTTTGACATTGCTGCTTTCACTCTGTAATTTGGTAATTTTTGCACATTATTCTAGGTGAGGACCCTTTGACAGATGACCAAAATAATCACGACATCAACTCTGTAGCTGGCGTCCTCAAGCTGTATTTTCGAGGCTTAGAAAATCCACTCTTTCCTAAGGAAAGATTTAACGATTTGATATCATGCATCCGTAAGTCACGCTTTGTTCTCTATACCCCCTCCTTTGTTCTACAAAAAAAAAAAAACTCCATTTCCTTCTTCACCTTACTGAGCCCTCCACCCGTTTTCCTCCTCTTCCCAATGCTCTATTCTATCCCCTTTTTCCTGGAAGAGGAAAACAGCTATAGATGTCTTCAAGGCAGTTTGTCCCACATCTGCGCCACTCTCAGAGAGTTTAGTCATACTTGCAGCTGGGACCGCTCCCTTTTTTCACCAAGATTATGTATAACTCTTTGTGTCCAACACAGCAGGAAAACATTCCTGCAGGCATAATCGTGGCTTTTATACACTTCAGTTATTGTGTTTTCTTTCATGTGGAGGTCAGGTTCAGACAGGCAGCATCAACTCTAGGGCTTTGCAAGCACAGGCAGAGTGTGCACATCTCTGTGATCTCTGAGAAATCACATATAACAAACTAAAACCAGGTTAAGGAAAGGTAATCGGCCTTGTAAACCTATCATTTAAAAGGAAACTGGTGCATTTTCAATGGGCAGGCATTATAGGTACTTATTGTATCGTTTACTTCAAAGTAATTCTTTGTGACGTTTCCATTGTTGTGTTTTTTTTTTTTTTCAGCACTCTCTACTCTCCACATTGCATGGTTTTGTTTCCTAAATATATTTATAAATTCTATATACAGCAGATCTATTTATTGACAACAGAGATGATGTCTATCAGCCACATACTCATCTGTTTTCAGTCAGACAGATTTGCTTTGAGAGGCAAGCTTCGTTACTGTGCAGCACTACTAAGTATAAAGACAAAGCTTACTTATTTTTTTTTTAGTTAATATTGCTGTCCTATGCATGCATTTGTTCATACGTTACACGTGAAAGCAAGGTTTAAGGTCTAAAATTCAAGACCCACTTTTTAAGTACTCTCCTCCCCGCACCCCTTCCTACACCTATTACACAATTGAAAGCAGCTTTGTGATAAAAACCCTGTAAGGGGTTAAAAATTAGAATTTTTACCTTTTCCCCGACGACCACCCCCATGGTGCTTGGACGAGGATGATGTCCTCATTCTGGCAAGATTTGGGGAATATAGAGTACCCCAAATCTTACTGCAGCATCTTCTCATGAGATTTGGAATGCTCACCATTCTGTGGGATAATCTTTTCAGCAGAAGGATGACGGTCACCCCCTGTAAAACGGAAGCCAGAGGAAAGGATTAAAAAAAATTTTCTTTCTTCCCTACCGTGTGTATGTGTTATATATATATATATATATATATATATATATATATATATATATATATATATATATATATATATATATATATAAAAATATGAGGTTTTATTAAGCACGTGGCCAGGGGCAGACTGACCATTAGAGCACACGGGCACTGCCCGAGGGCCCAGGGTCAGTAGGGGGCCCCATGAAATGTCCCTGGTACCTTTTTATAGGCTTTTTTGGGTGTGCTTTGAGTGTGGGCAAATACACAGGGGCCCCGTGATCCCCCTATTGCCCAGGGGCCCCATGAGTTGTCAGTCCTCCCCTGCATGTGGCTTTCATTTATCTTTTAAACAATATCCCTGTTAGCAGAAGCTGAAGATAATGTTGCTCCGTATTTGACGTTTAGGACATATTTTCATATTCAACTCACTGGGTTTCATGTTTAACAGCTTTGCGCTGTCCTATAGCAGAAATACTGCTACAGAGCGGCATGGGTGTACAAAATCACGTAGATATACGTGATTCATGCTCCCTCGGTGTTCGCGGTTTGGGGGGCGGGGGGGGGGTTTGCCCCCCGCCGACCCATGGGTGCCATAATTTGATAATAATAGTTTTTTTTTTTTTTTTTTTTTTTATCTTTTGGTCGTTGTTACTGTTCTAGTGTTACAATTTTAATGTTTTATTGTTAACCATTGCTGTTTTCTTTTGCAGGAATACCATTCAGCTGCAGCACCAACCTGTTTATGGTTATTCTGACAGCAACAGGAACTTGTTCTCAGAATATACACAAGTCAGTGTGGGCAGTGCTATTGATGAGATTTTTCATCCGCAGTTAAAAAAAAAAAAAAAAAAGAGCATATATGCCGAAGCATGGGGGTCTGGGGTGGCCATTGGGTGGATGGCCCCTCTGTGGCCGAAATTGTTGGCACCCTTGATATTTCTCCAGGAAATCATGTATTTCTCACGAAACGTATTGCATTAACACATGTTTTGCTATACACATGTTTTTTCCCTTTGTGTGTATTGGGACAAAACAAAAAAAGGGAGGAAAGAAAGCAAATTCGACATAATGTCACACAAACCTCCAAAAATGGGCTGGACAAAAGTATTGGCACCCTTTCACAACTGCGGATAAATAAGAATGTTACAAGCATGTGATGCTCCTGTAAACTCACCTGGGGCAAGTAACAGGTGTTGGGCAATATAGAAATCACACCTGAAAAGCAGATAAAAAGGAGAGACGTTCACTTAACCTTTTGCATTGTGTGTCTGTCTGTGCCACACTAAGCATGGACAACAGAAAGAGGAGACGAGAACTGTCTGAGGACCTGAGAACCAAAATTGTGGCAAAATATCAACAATCTCAAGGTTATACAAGTCCATCTCCAGAGAACTAGATTTGCCTTTGTCCACAGTGCGCAACATTATCAAGAAGTTTGCAACCCATGGCACTGTAGCTAATCTCCCTGGTCATGGACGGATGAGGAAAATTGATGAAAGATTGCAACGCAGAATAGTCCGGATGGTGGATAAGCAGCCCCAAACATGTTCCAAAGACATTCAAGCTGTCCTGCAGGCTCAGGGAGCATCAGTGTCAGCGCGAACTATCCGTCGACATTTAAATGAAATGAAACGCTATGGCAGGAGACCCAGGAGGACCCCACTGCTGACACAGAGACATAAAAAAGCAAGACTACAGTTTGCCAAAATGTACTTGAGTAAGCCAAAAGCCTTCTGGGAAAACGTCTTGTGGACAGATGAGACCAAGATAGAGCTTTTCGTTAAAGCACATCATTCTAACTAACTGTTTACCGAAAACGGAATGAGGCCTACAAAGAACAAAACACAGTACTACGGTAAAATATGGTGGAGGTTCAATGATGTTTTGGGGTTGTTTTGCTGCCTCTGCACTGGGTGCCTTGACTGTGTGCAAGGCCATCATGAAATCTGAGGATTACCAAAGGATTTTGGGTCGCACTGTAGGGCCCAGTGTCAGAAAGCTGGGTTGGGGGCGGGTTGCGTCCAAGATCCTGGTCTTCCAGCAGGACAATGACCCCAAACACATACGTCAAAAAGCACTCAGAAAATGGATGGCAAAGAAGCGCTGGAGAGTTCTGAAGTGGCCAGCAATGAGCCCAGATCTAAATCCCATTGAACACCTGTGGAGAGATCTTAAAATTGCTGTTGGGAAAAAGGTGTCCTTTCCAATAAGAGAGACCTGGAGCTTTTGCAAAGGAAGAGTGGTCCAAAATTTCCGGGTGAAAGGTGTCAGAAGCTTATTGATGGTTATAGGAAGCGCTACTGATTTCAGTTATGTTTTCCAAAGGGTGTGCAACCAAATATTAAGTTAAGGGTGCCAATACTTTTTGTCCAGCCCATTTTTGGGGTTTTGTGTGACATTATGTCATATTTGCTTTTCTGCCTCTTTTTTTATATTTGTTCCAATACATACAAAGGGAATAAACATGTGAATAGCAAAACATGTGTTAATGCAATACCTTTTTGTGTGAAATACTTGATTTTCAGGAAAAATATCAAGGGTGCCAACAATTTTCTGGCATGACTGTATATTTTGTAATATTTTTTTGGTACTTTTCATGTGTGCCCACCATTAGAAGTGGGTGGATGCAGGGTGGTATATTCTAATGGTTGCATACCAAACACTTTTTCTGACAGATTTCTTCTCTTTTTTTTCATTCAAGCCCAGCAGGCAAGAACATAGCTTATACAACCAACAAGGACCAGCAATGTTACTGTACATCACTGGACTTTGAGTGGTTATACCAGGATGATGCCTGCAGCTGCAGGCATCATCCTGGTATCGTTTTTCAGCCGGCGACATTGAACTTTCATTAAAAGAAATCCTAGTGGGCTAATTAGCTGCAGGATTGCTTTTGCAAGCAGCTGGAGAAGATTGCCCCCTTCCTCCCCCGCTATCTTACACGGCCTTCTCATGCAGATCCTGTGCCATCAGGGGAACCTCAGAATGCAGCCAGTGTTTCTGCCAGCTGACCATAGAGCTGATTGGAGACCGAATGGTGCCAATCATCTCTATAGTATTCTAAGAAATCGGAAGCTACGAGCATTTCATCATCTTCAGTTTTGCAGGATTTAAACAGCGCCATTTGTAAATTGGGAAGCATCTGATCATATCCGATCTAGAATTTGGGTGTTGATGAGATTAGTAATGTAAGGGCAGAGGAGATATCTATAAGTCTGATGGACCCCAGATTTCTCAAAAAAGAATATATACAATGCCCATTGAAGTTATATGGGATATTTGCATTCCCTGTGATTTAGTATTAAATGTGATCCAAAAAAAGAAGAAAAAAAAAAATGAAAGGGACAGTGTAAAAATAATACATAAAAAAAAAAAAAAAATGTACCTTTCGCCAACAGCACGCACCTGCGTACGCAAGCGTTGACCCTGTGCCAATATGTTAACAGTGGTTGCACCATGCATGAGAGGTATCGCCACAAACAGATCAGTAATTCTAGTGCTAGAAGTGCAGTAATTCTTGCACTAGACCTCCTCTGTAAATCTAAAATGGTAGCTAATAAAGGCTTTTAAAACGTTGCCTATGGATATTAAAATGTATGCAGTTTGTCGCCATTGCATGGGGCATGCACAGTTTTAAAACATGTCATGTTTGGTATCTTTTTACCCGGCATACCATCATCTTTTATATTATGAAGTTAGAAGTAAAAAAAAGTGTATTTTGTTCAAAAAATTTGCGTTTGAAAAATCCCTGTGTACTGTGTGACATAAAAAATTGCAGCAACCACCATTTTATTC